AAATACCAGTTTTAGAATTTGTACCACTCAATCCACCGAGTACAAATTGCTCAAACACGAATAAATCGAGAAAAACGTGATTTTTGTATGGAATTTTTTTTATGGCGGGACTTTTTTGGGAAAATTTTTGCACTGCGATTTAGTGCTCAATTTGTACCGACAGAAAATATATACTTTTGTACACTTTGGCCTCATAGGTTCGGAGTACAAATGGCTCAAACACGAAAAAATCACAAAAAACGTGATTTTTGTATGGGAATTCTTTTAAAACGGGATTTTTTTTGGGAAATTTTTTCACAGCGATTTAGTACTCAATTTGTACCGACAGAAAACATACACTTTGGTCCCATAGGGTCGGATCACAAATTGTCCTAACACGTAAAAATCACAAAAAGTGATATTTTTGTATGGGATTTTTTTAAATGGACTTTTTTTGGAAAATTTTAATGCTGGAAAAAATATTTTTCAATTTTTTATGTGCTATATATTTTTCAATGTTTTATATATTTATATAATCTTAAAAATTTCAATTTCTTTGAATTTTGATAAAATTGTTCGAATCTTGGTTCGAATTATTTAAAAAATTTACTATTCTGAGTACATATTTGTACAACTCATTGGGTCGGACACATAAACCTTTATAAAAGTGTTATCAAAAATCAAATGACTTTTTTTGGATTTCGGGATTCCTTGGATCAATTTTTACTGTTTGAAAAAGTGAGCTAGGTTTTCATGAGGAATCCAAATATGTGAGGTAAATGGTGACACTTGTCCAGCAGTTTTGACCTAGGGGAAGACACGATGCATATGATTCATTGATATTTGGATTTATTTGAGTTGATTTGAATTTGTTTGACAACTTATTACTGAATTAAAAAGTCAAAACATCAAACTCCATTTCGATACCTATTTTTTATAAAATCAAACTAAAAGATTTTTTTTCGTATCAAAAAATTCAAGTATGCCGCTTAAGGATATTGAGTTTAAAAAACATAATTAGACAATAATAAATCTCATTGCATTTTTTAATTTAATTTTTTATATTTTTGTATACCGAACTTCAGGACTTTCCACTGAATGTGGCCTTTACTCTATGAGTGAGGGTACATGTATGATTCTGGAAGACAGAGTGTTGGGAACCGTGGCTTATTTTACTGACTTCAGGATTTTTTAGTGGAAAATAGCCTAGTTATGGACTGCTACAATTTACTACAGAGTATTGCCGCGAAATCCGGTTGGTCTGGATTAAAGCACACTCAAACATTAGAGGCCATGACAGTCATGGTATGACTTAGCAGATGAGGCAAAGTACACTCATGGGGTCACTACTGCCCGTAGAATAAGAGGAATTCCTCTTAAGCTTATCTATACGGCTCAGAACTTGTAGTTGTCAGAACAGGCAAATCTCATAAGCATACGAACAGACAAAATAGTTTCTACAAGCTATTTACACAGAGAGAAAAAATGTGGTATTTTTAATTCAATATTGGTTTCTATTCCTCGGCACCCCCAATCATCCTGTGAAGTCAGATTTTGAATACGTGTTAACAAATTTTTGCGTACAGGGTACAGGGTACGCACATACATTCGGACATCGAAAAAAGGACTGATTAGTGTTCCCTGGCTCCGAAAAGCCCCAGAACACACGTTTTTTATGGGTGTTAATTTTTCGACCGATTCCAGTACTTTACCTTACACACTAGGTGTGTGCGGAAAAGTAAAATTATTGAGCGCTAAAAGAAAACATAGAGGTCTTAGAGTTAAACAACATATAGAATGCTTAGAGCCATAACGGTAAAAATTTGCTGTTCTATGCGCTGAAAATATATATGTTTTGACATCCATAAATATTACATTTGATTTAATACGATGATGCGATTAACTCAATGAATTCGTTGTCAACATTCTCTCTTTCTGAGCGAGCGCGCGCGAATTAAGGTCTTGTTTTCTATTTTAAATCTCCTCTCCCATTTTTTTCCGAACCCTGAGCCAAATTAAATTAAATTATTCCCTTACTTGGGTAGAACGAAAGATGAATGAATTAAATTAAAAAGGATATAAGGGGTATGAATTTCAAACTTTGGAATGAAACAAAAAACTGAACGAGTTTTCAGTGAGAACTTCTCATGCCTGTCACCAATAATTTTATCAGTTTTTTTTTTGTTTTTCACCTTTTTTGAAACTTTACACAGTAAAAAAAGAAAGGAGATGTTAATTATTCGATCAGATAGTGTATTTTGACATGAATTTGGTTGATAAATGGAGTTACTATACACTCCGTAATATTTTTTTTAGATTTTCCCAATTTTAGTATGCGTTTTTCCAATTTTGATCAACGTTTCTACATTTTTGTCCTGCGCGTTTTCCAATTTTGGTATGCATTTTTCCATTTTTAGTTTTCGTTTTTCCGATTTTGATATGCATTACCAATGTTAGTTCGACCAATCTGATCGTGTCCGAAATTCATTCTTTCACAAAATAAATGTCAGATTCAAGTTTCTCGTGTCAAAAAACCCTCCAATATACATTCCCAAACAATGAAAATGAACTTAAAAAGTGTAAATTTGAGATATTGCGAGTTAAAAGCATACATGCAAATCAGTTACTATGGCTGTAAAAAAATCGATTCAGATTATTTTCAAGTGACATTAGAATTGCTAATTGAATGAAAATGAATCGAATTGAGTAGTTTGTAAAGTTGATTTTCCTTTGAATGTAAATTATTTTGTGAACACTTTTTTATCATTCGTTTATTTACTCTTGATTTCAATGAAATTTTCGATATTCAAGCTATGATGAACGTTCAAATGACTATAAATATAAGATGTTATTGCATTATTATTACTCTTAAAATGTTTCTAGCCACGAAAAACCTATAAACTTTGAATTGATGTGGCATTATTAGTACACAATGATGGATTTTTATCAAAAAAAGTAAATTTTTGTAGGGAAAGTGTATTTTAACGTGATTGTACAAAGGTCAGATTCGGCTTTCTCGTACCAAAAAACCCCCGCATACACATTTGGCTAGAGAAACAAATATTGTTTTTTTTGCCTTTTTAATGCAATATCTAAGTCGATTTTGAAATATTCTAGAAAATATCTTCAGAGAAAAATACGCAGGCTCGAAATTCATTTTAGACATATGGTTCCTTGGGCAAAAATGCTTGTTATGGCCCATAGAACCACAATCGCGATGTTGCTTGGATGCAAAAAAATTGACCTACCCTAATATATATTAGACTAACCCCATAAAACACAAGAGTTAAAAAAATTTCGGAATACTTTTCCATATGGTGTGCAAATAACGTGTGTAAAGTTTCATGCCAATAGCTCAATGCTAGATGGTGCCGCAAGAGCTCGGTACGAAGGGCAATCGCACTTTGAACACTGCAGTTGTGCTGCTCTCTGACATTTATAAGTTCAACCCTATGTAAAGACATTGCTTTCCTCTTCTTCTTCATTTGCAAGAAGCATGTGCGTTATAGCAGCTTAACTTTGAGATACCAGGTAGCAGCATATCTGCGTGCTCGAAACCCAATACATTGCTTTAAATGGAGTGCGAGCAGAGCGTGGCTCGGTAGGTCATTATGTGAATTTATTGAAAAATGACATTTTCAGTTAAAATAAAAATATCTTCGCACAACCATATCGACTAAGAATTGATGGTGATCGTCGTTTTCCATCAAACACTTGCCACTGGTGAAGTTTCAAACGATTTGAATGAAAATAAAACACATTTCCACTCAAAATTTTATCACCAACAATGAAGGTTTTGTACCAAAGGTACGACAGACCTTCACAAATTAATCTCATTTGAAGTTAGAATACTTTCAGTGCAAAACTTATGTGATTCCACTTTGGTATACACCCATTTCAATGCATCGTATAGCTGGAATACTGTCATTTGCATAACAAATTGTGAGCAATGAGCATTGGGTCAAAATATGGATATGAAACATGATTTATCCGAACTATAATACACTTCTAAACCTATTTCAATTCGATCAATTTTGAATGAATAAACAATATCAATGCTGTTTGAAAGCGTTCTGGCCTGATTTGCGCATTGCTATACTGAGAATATAAAGTGGATCATTTTATGAAGAACCAAAAGTGACATTCAATTGGTTTTAAATCATCAATTTTATACTGAAATCGATAGAATATCATGTATTACTCATAGCCGCCCCAGGCATTTTAATATCGGCCCTTCAAAAAAATGACCCACCCTAGTAGTGATTGTAGTAATGTAAGTGTTAATGTTAAAATAACAATAATTCTGAACGATTCTTTTAAAATTACTGTAAAATTCCAGCCTTTGAATAAAATGAAAAAATAAGTGAAGAAAACTTCTTATTCTGATACAAATTTAACGTGATTTTTTTTATAAAATGCTAACGTTTTCGGAAACAATGTTTCCATCATCAGGCGAGCTATAAAACTGAAATCTGTAGAAAAATTATGTCATATGTTTACTACGATTAGAAAATTTAGTTGATGTTTAAAATATGAAACAAATTTGAAAAGAGAAAAATAATCATGGTTACATTGATGACAATATTAAGTAATGGTATTTAAATTGAAAGAGATTTAAATTCAAATAAAAACATAGATCCGATGAAAGTAGGCGCCCGATTCACATATTGAATATGTGATCTATTGTAATTGGTGATGTTAATTTTTACAAAGAAGTTTGTACTTGTGTATTTTGGATGTTCATGTTATGGCCCATTGTTTTATGAATAAAAATATTTTCCCATGCATCCAGATAACGTGGTGCATTATTTTTTAAATAAAATTCGTGTATTATTGAATATAAGAATCTTTCGATGCATAATATATTTTTTGAACTTTTTGATTGCGGAAAAATTCGTCGGACTTTAAATCGCTTTTTTTCTTGTACTATAATATATATTTTTACAAATAAAAGTTGAAGGATTTATATTTTAAAAAATTTCGAAAAATGTATTTTTCACCATTAAAATAAACAAATCTTATACAGAAAATAATTGTAATTTTTTATTTCATCTCATAAATAATATTTTTAAAATGAATTACATTTTCAGCTTAATGTGGACTCCTCGGATGTTTTGCCATCTTGATATAATTTATTTTCGCGTTTTTTACGAAACAACATCAATGAAATGTTCTCAATCAAATCGTCACTTTGATCAGTGTTCATTCGTTTTAAACTTGCTTCAAGGAATTGACAAAATGCAGCAATTGTGTCAGTTGAAAGATCGGCTGAACCTCCAATGAAACTTGGTTCAACGTGAATTTCATCCTCATACATTTCAGACGAATCTCTGCCATCATTTTCTTGTTTGATTATTAAATCATTTTGCAGTCCATGCATGATACCATCATGAATATTTTCATATCCAACACTCCCACTTTTTTGTAACTTACGTTTGTGATAGCGATTACATACCTGGGGGTGAATCACATAGAAAATAATAGACAAATGATCAAAATAATGGATAGCAATTTAACATACGCTTTTATCTTTCTCTTGAAAATCAGTAATTGTGTTCATCATGTCACTGGTTTCGAATTTATCCTCTGTTTTTATTCTAAATTTGCGATCTTCTGAGTTCTGGACATCCTTCAAAACGGCAAACTTATTAAACAAAATCCAGTTTGAATTATAGTTTGGGATTGATGCTTGCTTTATCATTTCTCTGCGATACCTAAGGGGAGAATCACAAAAGAAAAGAATCGAATTAATTTAAAATAATCGAAAAATAATCGACAAATATTCGAAAAATAATCGGAAAACAATCATTGATTTGCCCCTTAGCCATACCGTTCACATAATGTTTTATATCGACGTATCGCCTCATGCGCTAAAGAAAAATAGAAGAAAATAAATTTTTATTAAACCAAAAAAATATTCAATGAAATAAATCAAAATATCACATTTAGTACTTGGAATCAATGAATAATTTTGAATTATTAAATTTGAGACATAAATATTGAAAGAAAGTGTGATTCGGAAAGTAATGTTTTGATATGAAAACTGATTGATGTACAATCTAATTCATTAATTTCATTTCTCAAGTAAATATTAAATTAAAATAATAATATTATACTCTTAAAACAATAGTTATCTGATTTTGGTACGTTCTAACTAATCTTGTTTGTCACTCATTCATTTTCGATTAAGATTACCTCCCATATTCATTTTGTTCGCAATTTCTTTCCACTTAAACTCTTTTAAACTACGATTTCGAAATTCAATATGTGATTTATTCCACAGAAGGGGATGTTTTATCAAATACTCAATGAGCGTTTCATCATTTGAGCTTTGTTTTGGATGCAAATCCGAATGATTTGAAAATTCCTCACACCTAAAATTCACATTCAATTATAGAAAATGAACAAATTTCAACATCTTAAAATCAAAATTATAAATATTAACATACGATTCTTTTTGCTCCATTTAAAAATTCTTCAATTGTAGAATAATTTAATCTGTGTAAATACTTATTCTTTCCTTTTCTGATTTTGTTTTATTTTCGTCACTTTGTTTTATAAACGTCAAGTTTTAAATACATTGAAGTTGTTCGCAATCAAATCAATATGTTCGGCATCAATAGAAGTTTATCGTTGAAAATCTACTTGTTTTATTTTCCATTATTTTTATCTTATATATACAATTATTATAATAATCTTCATTTGAAAATATGACGAAAAAATTCAAAAGATATTAAACCTTAAAAAAGAGGGAATTTCTGCAACGTTTTGATTTATCATAGCTTGAAGTGTATACCAGTGACTCCATCTATAAAACGATAACTTAAAAAATATAAAGCTTCGCTCCCAAGTACATTCAAGTTATATTTAGCAAAGAAATAATACTCAATATATATAAGCAATTCCATATGAAAGCGTTCAAGTTTTTGCAATAATCATCGATTTTGCTCAAAATTGGCATACATTGTTTTGATTTTAAAAAAATTGGGAAAAAAATCAGCGCATTTTTTATAGTCAATTTTTGGTACAGCACGATGGACATTCTTAATTGTCCAGTTTTTTAACTAATTTGGTTCGTATTGTAGCTTGAGAATTTTTTTGGGTCTTTTTTATGCTCATTTTATGCCGCTTCTATTGACGGTGTCAAGCCATTCGGCTACGAGGGTTCAAATTACTCAAAAACCTCTTTATTTGATCACAACGAAGAGGAATTCGTTATTATTGGCTTATTAGAAAACTTGGCTGAAAATTGCTTGATGAAGAGTGCTTATTATATTAAATAATACAGGTGATGAAAAGATTTTCTCAGTTTTTCACCCAAACAAACTTGTATGCCAAATTTGAGCAAAATCGGTGACAATAATTGCACAAATCTAGACGATTTGATTTGGAATTGCCGATGTATATTATTATTACTTTTACAATAGATATTGTGTTTCTGGGCTTCTAGATGTCATAAGTGTCAACCAGATTGGAAATATGAGGATCATGCGTATTGAGACCAAATCATCGGCCTCAACTTGTTCACTTGTAGCCGCTCTGGAAGCTTTATTTCACGTTGTTTACGGTATCTAACACTCGGTAAAATATAGAAAGAGAGCAATATCTATCTCTATCGATATTCTGTGTCTTGAGTGAAAACATGAAAGGAGTTGAGTTTTATTTAATCATTCAGCACAAGAACGAGTCCATTTAGTATAGTCGAATACTACCATCGAATCAGGCGAAAAAATATTTATTTAGAAACGCCTGAAGAAAATATTGCTTGTAATGACCCACTTTATCACTGGGTGGAACTTTCACTACTTTCTTGTTTTACAAACTTGATAATTCATTTAGATGGGACGAACTGTGTGATTTAAAAAAAAAGTTTGAATATTATTTGTGAGTTTGAATAAAAAAGAAGGTGTACAAAATGAGTTTTTTAAGCAAAAGTTCCATGATTTAGTAAAATTGAGTTTTTGTATCTATATACAAATTTGGTACGTGATAATTAGTTCAATAAAATAATATATTATAATTCTGCGACTCAATTAACATTTTTTTCTGTTATTGAAAAATATTATGAATTTCGTGAATCTTGTGAAATACGGTAATATAATCCTCATTTGAATAAAATTATAGACGAAAATGTCGTATTTATGTGGAAAATAATTAATTTTATTAAAAGCCTATTACTAAAAGCTTATTATGTTTAAGATGTGCGAAAATTTTCAATATTAAGTAATACAGTGATCTGTGGTAGAAAATATTCTTCATGATGATTTCTTGAACAATTTACATATATAATAATTAATATATGAGTAAATTATTAGTGAATGAGTGATACCTTTGGCTCCTGCGCACTCGTTTGACGTCTTCACCCTTTTTGACTTTTCATTCATAGACTTTTTTCAAAGAAGCGTAGAAAGTTACCGTTTAAGAAAAAAAGAAGCTCCATTAGCTGAGCATGTATGAATGAGACGAATATATGTTGTTCCAGTGAGATGCAAAAAAGCTTTGAATTAGCAAATGACATTTCGTTGGAACAAACATAAACATTTACAAACATTTATAATGAATGAAAATTTAAATGTTTTAAAATTACAAAACGAAAATTACCCTGTGCGCATACAATACTGAACGAAATACGATTTTGAAAGAGAAAATTAATTATATTTTTCAAAAATAACAAGTACATAAAATTGTGTTGACCTATGTGTAAAATAAGTGTTTTCGATTTTGTTTCTTTATAATTTCAAGCTCTTTCAATCCGTTCGTGTAATTTGAACAGAGTATTGTTTAATATTGTTTTTGTAAGCAAACTTAAAGTTTTGTTCATTTTTGCTCAATCAATCAATTAAATTGAATATTATATAAAATATGTGGTCTGAATTTTGTGTTCTGCATCGATTTTTCACTTCATATTTTCATGATAAACATATTTTACTGAGCTTTGAATTAAGAAACTGATCTTCTACGCCTGAGGGAGCCAATACTCGCAAATTGCAATACCATTTTATCCTGCTTGTACTAAATCATAGACTAATGATATCTTCAGATCGTTAACCCACCTGCAGACAGTTCATAATAATAACAGATCCAGACAGTATAGGCCTCTCAGGCCCACCGTACAAAATATATGGAAATAATTTCAAAATGATAAAACCAATATCAATTTTGATTTTTTTTCTGTTTTTATTCGACGAAAATGAAAAAAACGAGATGAATAAATAGAAACATAAATAAAAGTATTGAATAAATGTAAAAAAATTAATTGGAATCGGAAGAATCAGTTTTGTGTGTGCGTTTTTTTCCACATTGTGTACACAAAACCGTCATGGTTGAATGTTCACCGCAAACGTTTTTGTTACATTTGCAACAACAAGTTTTTGTTTTTCGACCGAGTGAAGCTGGACATAAATGACATCGACGTCTTTGAGATGATTAGTTTGTCAATGGTTCTTCAGAGACTTCTGGAATGTTCAAATGTTGGCGAGCTTGATTCAAAACTACTTGATGTTCCATGTCCATGCCACGAGTCGATCTGCGAGCAATTTGATTGTAAACCAATGATTCAGACAGTTCAAGTAGTTTAACTCAATAAAGTATGTAACATAATTTATGTTACTTTCGTAATTTATATTGCGAACTCAAAAGAAGCCTTCCACTAACAGAGCTAAATGAAATATTCGTTCACCAAAGAAAATAAGAAAACTGAACGGACGTTTCATTGCTACATTTTCATATGTATAATACACGAGTCCGTTGGCTTTGTGGTCGCGGCCGCATTAGTATGCGCAGTCATCACACATTGAATTTTTTTTGGACATACGCACCACCTATACTGCTGCGCTACTGTGTCCGATCTTCACTTACGTGCAGCTATTGAATTCGTATACAACCATTGGAGACAGAAAACAATAAAAAAAATAGAATTTGTTTGCAAAATTTTCTCTAAATACATGGATTTCCATACATTTTGTATGGTGGGCCTGAGAGGCCCATACTGTCTGGTTGAAGTGAGATTTTGGTTTTTGTCGAATAACAATTTTTCATAATTTAATATTTTACCGTTATATATTTTTTTTATTTATGTATCGATATCATTAGCTTAACGCGCAAGTTTTAAGAAAATTGATTTAATAGTTTGGATTTTATTCCATTTTTATGAGTTGCTGGGCCTCATAGACCCATTATGTCTGCAGGAGGGTTAAGCGATGTTTAAACATTCAAAATACAAAGCGACTGATGTCAATTTCAAAAGAATAAATCTGGAAAATAAAATGTCTTACATCCGTAAGATGAACTTTTCCGCACTGTGATCCACAACATGCATTTATTACGTATCTTCTACCATAAATATTAATTCATGAGAAAATTCAATGCCTGTATGATATCGTAATCATGTGAAAATTTGCAGATATTATTTATTTCACAAAAAGCTAACATTCTAAATGTTTGAAGAAATTTCAATACAATTGAGTGGTACCTTCCATATAAAATTTACGTTTTTGAGCAAAAAAATTCAAAATTTTGTTCGGCAGGTACCCATATTATGCATTGAAATCTCTTCAAACGTTCGGAATGTTATTTTTGTGTGAAAATAATAACCTGTGCAAAGTTTCAGCTCATTACGCTACCACAAAGGCAAGGCTCCAATAAAAAATATTTTTTTTTTTTGTGAATTTTTGTATGAAAAGTCTGTAAAAAATTGATTGCATCTTAAAACTAACATCAGATTCGGGTTTCTCATGCCAAAAAACTCCCCACCTTACATTCTTTCAGCGTTCAAATTGAAAGAATATCATTTCAAGGCATTTTTCTCATAAGTGCCTCTTCAGAGTCCAGGGTTTTACGGTGATCAACTAATGGTGCTGAAAATTTGACCAAGTCTATTCCTTTTAGACCCAATTTGATTTAAATCATCCCCATAAAGTCAGATTTTGAATTTCATGTGTGAGCACGAAACCATCGCGTCACCAAAATGATTCAAAAATGGTTCAAAAATGTATGGATGTGGGTACTCCATTCTCTAATACATTTGGACCAAAAATTACACCGGTCATCAGATATTGCTCAAAAACTAATCAGCACGTCTCCTCGCAGTCCCCAATCATCCTGCAAAGTCAGAATTAGAATTGAGTTTTTGGAAGAAGACTTATCGCGGTAACAAAACCGATTTTACACCCATTATTCAATATCGCTGAAAATTTGACCAGATGTACTCCACGTGGCCCCGAATAATGTAGTAGAGTCAGATTTTGAAAAGCACGTCTCTGGGGAATATTTTATCGCGGAAAAACCAAAATTTTCAATGGATACCCATTACATCGGTTAACCAATGTCGCTCAAAATTTGACCGAATGTACTCTCGCAGTCCCCAATCATCCAGTAAAAACAGATTTTGAATATTTTTTTATGTGTGCTGAGCTATCATGCAAAGTATAAAAATTTTGCGGACAGGACACAGGACACATCGCACATGCTACACAGCGAGTAACATTAATTTGCCCCAAAATCACCTCCAATCATGTTTTTACATGAAATATGCATAGAAAACATGTTTTGAGGTGACTTTAATTTTTTGGCCTAATACAATACCTTTCCTATATAATATATATTTTTAATCAAAGATTATTTCATTATTCAATTTAGTGAGAATACGTAGGCGACTATTTAAGTTTCTTCAATATGTATGTTTTAGTATTTCCCGATGCAAACCATTGTCATATTCGTTAAGTTTAACATTTTGTAGCATAAACGTTCTCAGAACGTTTTGTCA